TCACGCAGGCTTGGCTCGGAACGAACGCCACAACGCACATATTCTGGGACGACACTGGCACAGCATTTCCTATCCGAGCCACGCGCGGGGCGGACCAGGGCTGCCCAGCGTCCCCAGAGTTATTCGCCATTGTCCTGGCGGATGCGCCCGGGGACGTCGCGGTAGCTCTCATGCGACTGTTCCCCGAGTGCCGCGTGTTCTCTGACCTCGACGACATCATAGTGCTGGGGCCGCCGGAAGAGGCCGACGCGGCCATCCAGACAGTAGTCGCAGCGCTCGCGCAGGCCGGGTTCCAGGTGAACCAGAGCAAGACCAAAGCCTGGACGAAGACACGGCGCAAGCCTTGCCCCCGACAGCGCAGCTGGCCCTGGTAGACACTCCCACTTGCCTTGGGAGCACAGCCACGCGCTTGGATCAGGACGACGAGAGGGTCCGAGTTCACGCTGGCGCCAACGGAGCGGCCGCCGTGGCAAGACCTTGGGGCTGCCAGGCTTTCCGCCGAGAGACCTTCGGGCCCGCTGCCCTTCGACGTTCCAATCGCTTCGGAAGGCGGAGGCGGCTCTGCGGACGCAGGGCGCGACGGGGAACGAATGATGGGCCTGTTGTCCACCACCACCACCATAAGTTGTAAGGGGGAAGGAGGAGGGGGAGGAGGAGGAGGGAGGAGGAGGAGGAGGAGGAGGAGGAGGAGGAGGAGGAGGAGGAGGAGGAGGAGGGGGAGGAGGACCCCCTCCCCCTTCAACTTATGGTGGCGGTGGTGGACAACAGGCCCATCAACGAACCCTTGAGCTGCACCTTCCAGGAGCCTTCCCGTGGCCGGACACCTTCCAGAAGCTTCAAGGGCAGTGGGGCACAGCGAGGTCTTCGGCTGGGAAGGAACGCCTGCCGGGAACACGGGGAGAGGACGACCTGGCCTCATTTTCCGTGGAACAGGCGGACCAGGCGCGGGTCCTGCTCCCTGGAGAGGCTTCCGACGCTTCTGACAATATGGGGCCAGGAGCCCCCTCGACCAAGGGCGCAAAGCAAGGAATCAGCCCTCCTCAGAGGGAAACGTCTGAGCGAAAACGACAGCATCAGACGGTGAGCCGAAGCTATGCAGCCTCGCAACTTCAAAATCCAGCATCCGAGGGAGAGCGAGGCCACGCTCCCCCGAGAGGAGGGAGACCAGCCCATGGCGGACAAGCATTCTCTGGCGGCATACAAGAAGCGCTTGCGGGTGCCTGTGCGCCCGCCTGGAGCTCGCTGCCAGCACAAACGCACCGATGCTGGGCTGCCTTGCAATGAACCCTTGGACATGCACTGGTGGCATGCCCACTGTTGCCCTGTTGGGGGATCCCGCACAGGCAGGCCACCACGACAGCATGCGGGACTGGCATGCCCACACACACACACACACACACACACACACACAGCGCGCGCGCTTCACGGCTACTACGCTGCGAAGGATCAGAGGGTTCCCGGCTGGGACAGGCTGAACCCGCGGACGGGCGTCATGGAGGAGGCGAAGTTGGACGTTTGCACCCGAGACCCCAGCACAGGTCAGCCTGCGCACGTGGATTGGAGCGCAACCTGCGAATTTCGAATACAGCACCCACGGCCCTCGCAGGCGAGCTCGATCCAACAACGACGGGGTCGCAGCGGCGCAGAGTGTCCACGACAAGCCCGCTGCCCTCCGCAGCACGAGCACCTGGCGTCCTCGGTGTTCGAGCCGGGAGGCCGCCCGTGCGACACGGCCGTCGAGATCCTCAGGTCGTACAGACAGTGGCGCGACGACGCCGACCGGGCCGAGGTCCTCGGGAAGCTGTGGAGGCAAAGCAGCAGGCGCTTGCAGACCAGCGCTGCCGAGATGCTGCCCGAGATGCTGCTCAGTGCACTTGGGCGCCAGGCCAGCCTGCACCGGCGCTCTGGCCATCGCCGCGGCCACCGACAGTGGCCGTGGCCGCCACCATGGCGGCCTTGATGGCCACGACTGCCACCAGCGACCGTGACCAAAAAGCGCCCGACCATCAGCCAACTCGGCTCGACCTCCACAACGACCACCACGCCAGGCAGCATGAACACCACGTCCGCCGTTGGCCCGGCCACCGCGACCCCCACGTATGCGACCACGCCTGCCTGCATGACTGCCCCGACCGACCCCGCCCTCCGCCCGCCGCTCTCCGTTCCCTCTTCCCCCCCTTGCCCTGCCAGGCCGCCCCTGTAAGCATTGTAATTCATGATCAGAAAATCCATTCGCAGGCGTAATGCCATGGGCCCAGTCCTCCAAGAGGTCCTGGAGGTGGCTTTTTCCGTTGCCAAGGACCCAGGACCATCACCCCAACGCCCGGGGGTCCCCCTTGGTGACGGGGGAAAAGGGGAGGGAGAGGGAAGAAGGAGAGAGGGAACGAAGAGGAGACAAGGACGAGAGGGAGGAGGAGATGGGGGACGGGAGGAAAAACCTACCCTGGAATCCTCAACACATCGCCGGCAGGTCAGCGACAGGGAACTCCTGGGAAGGGACAGAGGGGCCCAGGCCCCGATCGGCGAGGACAGTTGGGGTTCAACTGTTCCCCCCCTGGGCCAGCCCCCCCCCCGCTTACTTAACTACCCCTCCATGAGGGAGGATCCCGAAGAGTAACGTTAAGTCGGGCGTGTCCACTACAGGGAAACTGTCGACGAAAGATGGAAAGTACTCAAACAGTAATCCCCTGACTATGTTTGTACTATTTCTGGATGTTCCCCCTGTAGAGGGACAGGCCCGACTTAAGAGTAACACGAACATGCACAAGAGTCGGGGAGGAGCAAGGAAGGAGCAAATAAATACACACGAATAACAGGATTCCCCATATTTTCCCATATGTTCTGGGTTTCTGTCTTCCCCCCCACTTGCCTTAGTTTCCCATATTTCTGGGGAATCGACGATCAATTGAGTCTGCGTGTGCGTCTTTCCCTCCTGAATCCATAAGGGAGGATCCCGAAGAGCAACACGAGCATGCACAAGAGGGGGGGAAGGGAGCAAGGAAGGAGCGGGCTACCCGCTCTCCGGCCGCGCCCACGCGCGTGCTCCCCCCCCCCCTGTCGTTGCCCTGCGGGTGGGCAGGATCGGTCAGCATCGGATCGGGAAATCCAAGGGCTCCCAAGTTCGCGCTGCGCGCTGCAAGAAGCGCCAAGCGCGAATGACTTCGCCCTCTCGCGCCGCCTCCCAGGAGAGAAGAGGGGGATGAGGAATCGGAGCCGCAGCGCGAAGCGCGAAGCGCGAATAACTTCGCGCCCTCGAGGGCGCCCTTGGAAATCGGATCGAGGCGGAATGTGCATCGGGTCGGGCTGCATCAGCACCGAGTCGAAATCGACTCAGATCAGCTGCGCGACGACGCCCAATAGCGCCATGCAAACATTGGGCTGCATCGGACCGCCAAAAGATCACATAGAATCGAATCGGAACGGTCGCAATCGCGTCCAATCTCACCAAATCGCCAGGAGATCGGATCGAATCGGAATCGGTATCGCCAGAATAACAGAGTCGAACCGGATCGAGCAGGCCAGAATCGGTGTCGAACCGGATGGATCGGATCGAAAGGGACCGTGGGGGGATCGAGGGGGATCGCTGATCGACAATCGAAGAGGATCGAGGATCGAGGAGTCCGCCACCATGCCCCCTGGCGCTGAGGCGCGGTAACATGCCGAGTTTGTGCAATCTTCTAAGGGCTCCCATCCTCTCACAGCGCACTACTGCATGCACCGCACCCCCCCCCTTCTCCCGCGGCCGCAATCCCTGCTGGCCACGATCCCCTGCCGGCCAGTCTGCCGATCCGCGCTCCCGAGGCCACGATCCCTCCATAAATTATGGATCAACGCTCCGTCACGATCCACTCGTAGAACAACACGGATCCGCGCTCACGAAGCCACTAGCATTGGCAACAGACGATGGGTCCGCGCTGCCGAGCTTCCCAGACGGCCGAGGTAGGCAACCAGGGGCCAGGATGGTCCAAGATGCCTCCAAGGCAGCTCCACCAAGGCGGCCCAAGATTCCCTCAAGACGGCCCGAGACCCCTAAGTTGGCCCAAGATGACCACAAGAGGACCCCCAGTAGGGCCCGAAGAAGCAACAATGATATATGTCTCGCATTGTTGTCTAAATCTAGCGTATTCAACTTTTCGGCCCTGGAGGCCCTTGAGGCCTCCAAGGCGGCCCCAAGACGGCCCAAGAAAGCTCCAAAACTGCCAAAAGGATCCTCCACGACGGCCTCAAGACAGCCCAAGAGAGCACCTAGACGCTCGCAGAGAGCCCCAAGTTGGCCCAAGAGGGCATCTGGAGGAGCCCAAGACGGCCGCACAAACCGGCCCATGATCGAGGAGGGCGAGAAGGAGGAGAAGGATCGAGGAGGATGAGGAGGAGGAGGATCCAGGAGGAGGAGGAGGAGGAGGAGGAAGAGGAGGAGGGTCGAGGAGGACGAGGAGGAGGATTGAGGGGGATGAGAAGGAGAAGGAGGATCCAGGAAGAGGAGGAGGAGGAGGAGGAGGAGGAGGAGGAGGAGGAGGAGGAGGAGGGTCGAGGGTCGCGGATCGAGGGGGTCGGGGGGCGCACAGCTTCTCCACCCAGCGGATGTGCGTCTGGACGGCCCTCGTGTTCACGATGTCGGCCTCTCGGCGCGACTCGGCCACAGCGGTATCCAGGCCGCGGGGGAGCCCCAACAATGGCAAAAGAAGAAGAGGACGAGGGAGGGGGAGGAGGGGGGAGGGGGAGGGGAGAAAGGGAGGAGGGGAGGAGGGAACGAGAAAGAGGGGGAGAAGGGGCAGAAGGGAAAACAGAAAACGTAGGGGGAGAGAGAGAAGGGAAACGAGCCAAGCACGAGGAGAAGGAGGAGACAAGGACGAGGGAGAGGAGGAGGAAGAGGAGAGAGAGAGAGAGAAAGAAAAAAAAAAAAAAAGGAGGAGGACGACGACGACGCCGAGGCGGAGGAGAACTTCGAACCCGCACGCACTCGTGGCTCGGGTGCGGGGCCAGAAAAGAAGGGGATGAACGGCAGAAGGCGAGGGCCGGCGAGGGGGGAGCAGGAAGGGCAGGGAGGATCGTCGTCGGCGACCGTCGGCTTGGGCGGTGCGCGGGTGGTCGCGGGATGAAAATGCCTGCGGGCGAGCGCCCCCGACCCAGGCGAATAAAACGAAGACGGGGAACGCAGCAGCTACATCGCATCATGACCGCATGCACGGAGCAGTTTCTTGGGGTGGAGGACTCAGGGTGAAATCCATGTGGGCGGTTGCGCCTCGGCAATCAATCCGTCTCGTGATTCACCCTTTGCGGATTCAAGCCTCGAAAACCCATCGAAACGGCATTTCGGATGTCACCCTTTGCCCTCCACCCAAAGAGAGTGCTCGGCACACGGAGCCTGAGACGAGCAGGGAGCGCGAAAAAGGATCCGTGTGCCGCCATCGACCTTGCAAGGCGACGGAGGCTCGGAGTCCCGAGGGCGTGCGCCCACCCGAGCGGAGGGGAAGGGAGCGAAGCGGGGGCGAAAGGGGGAAGCCCAAGTGGCGCACAGTGATTACACACTGAGAACAGGAGCAGCTGAGTGACACCTCGAACTCCAGAGGCCGAGTGTCAAAGGACAACTGGAGCGCAGAACTGAAGGGGCCCTGGGACACACAAATAAACACACACACACACACAAATAGCAGGATTCTCCATATTTCCAATATTTTCGGGGTTTCTGTCTTCCCCCCCACTTCCCATAGTTTCCCATATTTTCTTGGGAATCGACGATTAATTGTGTCTGTGTGTGTCTTTCCCTCCTGAAACTGGAGCGCAGAACGCCCTGGGCCAGCAACCGGCAGCGAATGCAGAAACCACGACCGCGCTCGAGAAACGGGGGCATCGGCCCAGAGACCCTGGGCCCGCACCTTGCCCCAGGAGGGGGGGGGAAGGGGGCACGCGTATGGTGATGGGCCTGGTTTCCACCACCACTGCCACCATGAGTTGGAGGGAGGAAGGAGGAGGACGAGGAGGAGGAGGACGAAGAGGAGGAGGAGGAGGAGGAGGAGGAGGAGGAGGAGGAGGACGAAGAGGAAGGAGGAGGACGAGGAGGAGCAGGACGAAGAGGAGGAGGAGGAGGATGAGAAGGACCCCATTCCCCCTCCAACTTATGGTGGCGGTGGTGGTGGTGGAAAACAAGCCCATCATGTGGTCGCGGCAGGGAGCCCCAAAAGAAAACGACTGCGCGCCCAGCCCGCGCTCGGGTCCAGGGTGTCCCCCGGAGTTCCCAGGGAGGCCCAGCGGCCTCCAAAGCACCCCTGACGAGGCCCAGAAGGCCCAAGGAGCTCCAAACCGGGTCCTCCTCTTCCTCCTCCTCCTCTTCCTCCTCCTCCTCCTCCTCCTCCTACTCCTCCTCCTCCCCCTCCCCCTCCTCCTCCTCCTCCTCCTCCGGGGCGAGGGGGCCCCTCCCGTAGGGGAGGGGTCGGGACCCTAGGGTCCTCCTGGCGCAGGCGGGGAGCGCCGGGCCCGAGGGGCGAAAAGCCCCCGCACCCCAGGGGACGCCGCCAAAGTGCGTTTCCTTCCCCTGGGGGGGTCGCCAGGTCCCGTGGCCTCCCCCAGGGCGGTGCTGGATCCCCCTCCAGCGCTCGCCGCCCTGGGGCGGGACCGGCGGCTTGTCTCTGTCGTGTCGTTCGTCCGTGTCGTGTCGTGCGTGTCGTGTCGTCCGTTGCGTCCCCCCGTCGTGTCGCGTCGTGTCGTGTTCCTTTTTTTGGTTCGGTCCTGGGTGTCCCGGGGTCCGAAACCGCGGCCACCTATGGAGTAGGTGGTGGGTAGGTTGGGCGTCGGAGCACGGCTCCGGCGCCCCCTACCCCGATCAGGGAGCGCGGAGCACGGTCTCCTTGCGTTCCCTGTTCGGGCTCAGGGCACGCCACGGGGGCATGGCCCCGACAGTGGCGCTGCCGCTGCAGTCTCAGCCTCCTGGCTGTGCTGTGTGGAGTGGTGGTCCCCACTCGATGGGGGTCAAGCAGAGGTCGAGCGTTAATTCCTCCTCCTCCGGGACGGAAAACTGGAGACACCTTCTGAGCCAGGGATACCGTCAGCAACCCTCGACACGTGCACGAGTGCAGCACGACTTGACCTCCAGGATGCGCGGTGAGAACGCAAGGCCCTCGGGCGCCCAGACTGGAGCCGAGGCTGAAAGAACAGGTCCCGTGGCTGAGGGCCAGGATGAACCGAGGGGCAAGGATGCATGGTCACCCCTGGAAGCTACTCGTCCTTATGACGCGGTTTGATTACATGATCCCGAGGCCGCCCTCATGTCACGAATGCTTGCAGAGGCGCTCTCTCGGAAACCCATGTTAACGTAGGGTATGGCTGCCCCGATGCCTGACTTTGTGAACACGTGGCCAGACTCGGGGATATACGATTGGGGGGGCATCCATCCTCGATTGGGGTGCCTTCGAATAGCTCCCCCAGGGGTTGTATCCCCGAGTTCCCCCTCCTTTCCTGAGCGGCCAGCACGGGGGATGGGAATTGGGGACAAGAAATCGCCTGCGACATGTTCGGCGGTGCGCCCCGGGGGGAAATGAGAGGGGGCGGGCCTTCTCAGAAGGCGGCGGAGCTTCTCGGAAACTCTCTTGCCTTCTGAGAAGCCCTCTGTGAAGCCTCTGGCCTTCTCAGAAACCCTCTGGCCTTCTTCGGGAAAGCTTCTCAGAAGGCCGGAGGCCTTCTCAGTCTCCTGAGAAGGCCCGCCCCCTCTGCCTTACCCCCCTGGGCGCGCCGCCGGGTCATGGTTTTCGGGCCAAACTCAGCCCCCCCGCGGCCGTTCGGGACGATTCGAGCATCCCCGGAACGTCCCTGACAAGGCGCAGCTGCTAGAGAGCATCCCGAGGCGAGGAACCCATGGACGAACACGCCAGGACGATGCCAGAGATCCCCTGAGATCTGGGCGCTCCGCCCCAATGCTGGGCACCTCCCGCTCCTCCCCGCGCGCGCACCGCACAGGGTGACGAGCGGCGTGGGGAGAGGGGAGCAGTTCTCTCAACGGGACTCCGCGAGCTGACCGGCAGTGCAGGCGACGCTGCGGCGTGCCGGCGCGGTGCTACCATTCCTGACCGTCGTCCTCCTCCTCGACCTCGTCCTCGTCCTCGTCCTACTCCGCCTCCTCCTCCTCGTCCTCCTCCTCCTTCTCCTCCTTCTCCGTCTCCTCCTCCTCCTCATCCTCATCCCTCATTTCTCATCCCTACTCTTCCTCCTCCCCTCTCCTGAGGGAATGACAGGAGGAGGAGGAGAAGGAGGAAGACCAAAAGAGATGGAGAGTGAGGAGGAGAGGGCGAGGAGGAGGAGGAGGAGGAGGAGAAGGAGGAGGGGGAGGGGGCGGAGGGGGATGAGGGAGGGAGAATATGAGGACCATAGTCCCCCGCCCATCCTCCCGCCCATTCTCCATCCAATGCTGTCCCCTCACCTCTGCCGCCCTCACCACGTGCCCCGCCCAGGAATGCCCCCAGCCTCTATTTGACGCCTGTGAGTCCCACACCCTCCCTCCACCATCACTTCTCAATCATCATCATCCTCCTCTGCTTCCTCCTTGCGCCTTCTCCTGCCCTCCCCTCCCTCCTCGCTCCCTACTTCCTTGACTCGCTCCTCCTCCTGCTCATACACCCGCCCCCACACATACCCCTTCCTACGCAAACACTGAGACCTACTCTCCACCTCATCGTCAGCAGTAGCAGCATGCTGGCCATCACAATCACAATCATCACCACCACCATCATAATCATCATCAGCATCAGCATCGTCATCATCATCAGCATCATCAGCAGCATCATCATCATCATCAGCATCGTCATCATCAGCATCATCATCCTCATCATCCTCATCATCCTCATCATCATCATCATCATCATCATCATCATCATCGTCATCAACATCATCAACATCAACAGCATCAGCATCATCATCAGTAGCATGACCATCATCATCAGCAGCATCATCAGCATCGGCAGCATCAGCATCAACATCATCACCATCAGTAGCATCATCATCACCACCATCATCATTATCATCATCAGCATCATCATTGCCTTCATACTTATCAGTATCAGCTTCATCCTCGTAATCATCATTATCATCACCATCATCATCAGCAGCAGCATCATCATCATCGTCATCATCATCATCCGAAACAGCATTACCATCGTCATCATCAACAGGATCAGCAGCATCATCATCATCAGCATCATCATCATCATCAGCATCAGCATCAGCATAAGCATCATCATCGTCATCGGCATCGCCATCGTTATCTTAATCGGCATCATCAACAACATCATCACCAGCATCGTCATCAACATCATCATCAATGTCATCATCAGCATCAACAGCAGCAGCATCATCATCAGCATCATCATCAACATCACCGTCGTCATCAATACCACCCTCATCATGGAAACCACAGTCAGCATCATCTGCACACTCATCACTATAATGAACAGCCTCACACTAACTCCCGTCAGTGCCAGTACCATCCACATTAGCGTAGTCGGCATCACCACCACCACCGTCATTGGCATCATCGGCAGCATCCTCGTCACCAGCATCATCGTCAGCGTCATCAGCATCAGCATCAGCATCAGCACCATCATCATCAGCAGCAGCATCATCATCACCATCATCATCGTCAGCATCATCAGCATCAGCATCATTATCATCATCGGCGGCATCAGCATCATCATCATCATCATCACCATCATCATCATCATCACCATCATCATCATCGGCCTTGTGACAACTGGGCGGCTATGCAGGCGTGCCTTTGATTCGCACACAACCTTGGCCAAGGACCCCTGTCCCGAGCGAGGTGGTCGCGTAGGGATGGAATCGAAAAACCAAAACGTCGGAGCGCACTCACGGGCGAGGATCGCTCAGGGATGGATACCGACGACACTCACGCCTCACACAGTAAAATCCGTGTGGGTGTCCCGTCCATCTAGGATTCGGTCCATATAGCGCCGCCTACTCGTATGAGCGGGCATCAGCATCCCCCCCTTGTTCGGTCTACGCCTGATGGTCATCATCATCATCATCACCAGCATCATCATCATCATCATCATCATCATCATCATCATCATCATCATCATCACGATCAGCATCATCATCATCAGCATCGTCAACATCCGCGGCAAACATAATACACAGCATCATCGTGACCGCCGTCAGCAACATCAACCTCACGATCGGTATCGTCATCAGCAGCAGCATCATCACCATCATCACCATCAGTACCATCATCATCTCCATAATCAGCATCATCATCAACGTCCTCACGATCATCAGCATCAGCATCAGCATCCGCATCAGCATCAGCATCATCATCAGCAGCATCAGCATCGTCAGCATCATCATCACATTCTTCATCGTCGTCGTCCACATCGTTATCATCAGCAGAACCAGCATCATCACCAGCAGCAGCATCATCATAACCATCAGGTTGACCAGCACAAGCATCATCATCATCATCTCCATCAGCATCGTCAGCAGCGGCAGCAGAATCGGCAGCATCGTCATCACCTTCATCATCATCAGCATCAGCAGCAGCATCATCATCGCGTATCATTGCAAACAACATCGTCATCGCCAGCGTCATCAGTATTACAATGACCGCCATCATCATCATCATCGCCAACACCACCACCACCATCAGTATCATCTGCATCGTCATCATCCTCATCATCAGCAGCATCAGTATCATCAGCATCTGCATCAGCATCAGCATCAGCATTAGCATCATCATCATCAGCAGCAGCAGCAGCATCAGCATAATCGTCATCATCGTCATCACCAACATCATCAGCACCATCATCTCCATCTTCGTCGTCTGCGCCGTCGTCGACGATCACCATCAGCAGCATCATCATCACCACCATCAGCATCATCATCAATACAATCATAATCAACATCATCATCATCATCATCATCATCATCATCATCATCATCATCATCATCATCATCATCATCCCCGTTACCTCCATCATCAGCAACAGCAGCAGTAGGATCACTACCAGCGTCAACATCATCATCGCCATCATCATCATCATCATCAGCATCATCATTATTATTGTTGTCGTTGTCACCATCACAATCACCAACCATTACCAAGATCAGCATCATCATCATCATCAGCAGCAACATCATCATCATCATCATCATCATACGCAGCATCATCATTCACATCGTCGTCGCCGCCGTTATTCATTCGCATCGTCCTCATCCTAATCCTCAGCATCCCCAGCACCATCAGCATCAGCATCATCTTCGTCATAATCACCGCCAGATGAATCTGCACCACCACCACCACCACCAGCATCATAATCACCATAATCACCACTACCATCGCCACCAAAACCACATTCACCATGAATGATCATGATCACCATCATCATCATTATCATCAGCATCAGCATCAGCACCATCAATCGTCATCATCATCATCACCACCATCACCATGACCATCAACATCCCCATCACCATTACCATCACAATCATCATCAGCATCATCATCATCATCAACATCAACATCAACATCACCGTCACCATCATCATCAGCATCATCATCATCATCATCATCATCATCATCATCATCGGCATCGGCATCATCACCATCAGCATCATCAGCATCATCATCAGCATCGTCGTCGTCATCATCATCTCACCGTTTCCTCAACATCCTCCACCCCATCCTCCTCCCCCACTGTCACCCCCTTCCTTCCCCTCCCCTCCCTCCCCCCCCTCCCTATCCATCCGCCACCCTCAGTCACCCTCCCCGCCCCTGCTGTGCCTCCCCTGGCCGGATCGCCGAGCCTGCCCAGGGGGGGGGGCGCGGAGACCCGCCCGCCCGCGACGGGCGGCGCTGCGCAGGCTTCACTCCTCCTGGGCGGCGGGGCGGACCTTCTCTCGCCCGCCCGCCCGCCCGCCTCTCCTCCTCCTCCTCTTCGACACCTCCTCCTTACATGCAAGAGAAGGGGCAAAATCATAACCTGTCGACGGTCCGCGCGCATTTCGTGGAACGGCGCCCAGACACCACAGCGGCGCCTCCGGCTCCTCCCCGCTCCGCGCGCCAGGGGAGGTCCAGCGCAGATCCAGAAATCCGCGCGGACCGTCAAAAGTTCATGCTGATGCCGCTTTTGCACCCTCGACTGCAGACTTATCCTCCTCGTCTGGCCACAAGACGCGTCGGCGGGGCCAGGCCAGGCGTCTCGCCCGAGGCTCCCCTCCCGCTCCTGACCCCAATGACACGGATGGAGCACAGGTCGTTGTCAAAGCGTGGGTTTCGCCCGCGGGGCCACGCACACTCGTCGTAAAAGGCTTCCAACAGCTACACGGATGGAGCACAGGTCGTTTTCAACACGTGGTTCTCGCCTGAGGGCCAAGAACATTCATCCGAAACAGAACCAGCAGTTGCACTGAGGCGGTTTCTTTTCCGAAGTGTGGCTCTCGTCCTAACGCGACGCACAAACAGACAGACAGACAGACAGACAGACAGACAGACAGACCGACAGACACCGCACTCGAGCTGGAGCGCGTCCCTGGCGGGATGAATGGTTAGAGCCTCGGCCCTCCGAGCTCGTGCTCGAGCGCGTGCCAATTATCGGCACCACGCACAAATTTACGCAAGTGCTCCGCTGAAATCTCGTGTACTTCAGCAAAAATGCTCATCTGCCCACCGTGTCTTGGGTCGGTGCTGCAGGCGTCCCTTTCAGTTCGGATCAAATTCCGCCTGCCAGGCCGCAGATTCTCATGCCCACCGTTTTGTGTCAAGGCCCACGACTCGATGCGCACACTTCCACACTCTGCGCTTCCAGATAGCGCGCCAATCTTCGGTATCATGTTTCTTCAGCTGCGTCTGCAAAGCGGCACCGCAATCCGCCTCCTCCCAGCTCATAAGACCATGCGCAACACTTTCCTTTGCGCTCGTTGCAACAATTGCTGAATGCTCTCCGTCAGAGTCCACGCCGAGGCCCCATACAGAACAGGTGCTACAATTTTACGAGACTAACGCAGCCTGCTCGATAATGTGTATATCTTTTTTGTTAATTCAAAACTCCTTGCCATGAAAGCTTTCCATCCTTGCCGGAGTCTTTGGTTGAGCTCCACTCGGCGTCCGCTCTCGAAGCAAGAAGTTTCCCCGGGAACTTGACAGACTCGTCCGGTGGCGAAATCTCGACCTGCGTTCCGTTGATGTCGACGTGCGTCTACCGTCCTCCCCCTTGATCTTGATGCCTCGTTGCGTTCGTGATTATGTCCGTCCTCTCCAGATTTAGCTGCAGGCCGACCTCGCTGGCGAGCTGGCAGACGTCAGACAGCATCCATCTTGCGCACTTGTCGGAGGCTCCTTGCAACCAGCAAAGAAAGGTCTGCGAATTTTATGCTCGTCAACAAGGATATGCTGGTTACTCCAAGCCGAAAACCATAGCTTTACTTTCTCTATCAAATATCCGCTTTCCGAATGTTGTTTTACGTCGCGACGCGGCAGAGGCGATCCACACGCGCGTCGAGGCGAGACCTGGACAATCGAATGACATCCTCAAGCAAGGTGTTGAAAATCAGTGAACTGAATGGGTCGCCCTGCTCGGTCCCTTACTGTATGGGGAAGGACTGGCTTTTCTCATCTGTCTGTACTTAACGCCGCGTACATCTGTCTGAACAAGTCCAACAGCTGCATGGATGGAGCACAGGTCGTTGTCGCATGTGGCTCTCGCCTGATCGCCGCGCACGTTCGTCGTAAGAGCTTCCGACAATCACACGGATGAAGGGGGGTCGTTTCCAAACTGAGGTTCTCGTCTTAGCGCCGTGCCGACTCGTCTCAAACAAATTCCCAACAATTAAATGGATGGAGGGCGATTCCTTCCCGATGTCAACCAGCGTGGACCCAAAACAGCTTGATTCTAGCACTATACGTTGTGCAAAATACTGGGTGCAATCGAAAGGTTGCAATGTATGTGGTGCAACCTATGTTGTACATGTTGTGTTGTGCTGTATGTGTCGTGCAGTGGATGTGGCGCAATATACGCTGTGCAATGTATTTGGTGCAATACATGTTGTGCAAACTATGTGGAGCAACATACGTGGCGCAGTGTACGTGGTGCAATACATGAGGAGCATGAAATCAGCTGCGATCTCTAAACGTACAGCACCGATCGGACAGATATCGGTTGGATTGCAAACGATTGCATTGCGGGAGGATTGGGGCGGCGGCCACGGGCGGCGACGGCAGCAGCAAGCCTGCGGATCCGATTAAGAAGACCAGACGATGGGCGGCGACGAGGCGGCGGCGGTGCGGCGACGGCGGCAACAAGGCGGCAAACCTCGACAAACGAGCCCAGCACCAGTGCAAGCACTGCTTGGGGTAAACGCAAGTTTGACTGAGACGTCCATACCCCTGCTGGCCACGTGCCAAATTTACGGCGAGACGATGCAACAGCTGCGCGGACAGTGGGCAGCTCCTTTCCAAATCAGGGCTCTCGCTTGAGACCTCCTCAGGCTTGATGGCCAGGCGTGTGAAGCTTGAAACATGTGCACGGGGAGGAGGAGGAGGAGGAGGAGGAGGAGGAGGAGGAGGAGAGGAGGAGGAGGAGGAGGAGGAGGAGGAGGAGGAGGAGGAGGAGGAGAGGAGGAGGAGGAGAGAGGAGAGAAAGGAGGAGGAGGAGGAGGAGGAGGAGGAGGAGGAGGAGGAGGAGGAGGAGAGAGGCGGGTTACTGGCGGTTCCTTCTCGGACAGGGGCCTTTCGCTGGACAGCTCCTCGCGTAGCTTGTATGGCCACCATGCCCTGCTGGCCAGACGCACGGGCTGCGACTCCTCTCCAGAACGGGGCGCTCGCATGAGAAGGATTGCAAAAAAAACCAAGGATTGCAAAAAAAACTGTTTTTCAAAAAAAAAAAAAAAAAAAAAAAAACAAAAAAAATGATTGCAAAAAAACATGGTTTTGCAATCCTTCTTTTTTTGCAAAACCATTGGGACGCTCGTCTGTCACGGGAGGGCACTTCCCGCAGTGAACAGGAAACTCCCGCAGGAGCTCGAGGAGGGAACCTGGGACGGGGGAGCGTATTGAAGCACCGTTGATGCATCTTCGGCTCACTCTGTTGCTCCTCCTCCTCCTCCTCCTCCTCCTCCTCCTCCTCCTCCTCCTCCTCCTCCTCCTCCTCCTCCTCCTCCTCCTCCTCCTCCTCCCTCTTCCTCCTCCCTCCTTTCCCTCCTCCTCTTCCTTCTCGTCCCCCCCCCCACTCCCTCCTCATCATCCTCATCCTCCTCATCCTGCTCCTCCTCATCTGCCCTCGCTCCTCTTCACCTCGCCCTTCACCTCTATCTTTCCAATCATGCGGAGCAGGGCGAATCGAGACAACGGCATCCCAGAATCGATCCCTGGACCCCTCCCTACGCCCAAATGCCCCAACTTTCCGAATTGTGTCCAACCTTGGCAACTAGAGTGCCCCCGAAAGTCCAACTACCTGTGTCTCGACTGGCCCGCCTCTGAATCCTCCTCCCCGTCCACCCGTCCCTCCTCCTCCTCCTCCTCCTCCTCCTCCTCCTCCTCATCCTCCTCCTCCTCCTCCTCACCCTCCTCCTTCGAATATGAAAGTTTAAACGTTTGAACATGTGGGAAAATATAATTTGGAAAACACATGCTAGGAAAGACTGACAGCTTTAATGTCTGAAAGTGTGGAAGCATCCATTCCCAAAGTTTGAAAGCTTGTGATATTCAAAACATAATCTTCCGACAAGGAAGGGAACGGCCGAGCAACGGCAGGCTTAGAAAGCGCGAGGGACTGGGCAGGGAACGCGTACGCGTCGAGGTACAGCCTGGGGAAAATTGCCGCCGCGGGGTAGTGAGCGCGTTCATCGCAGGCATTCTCGAGAGTCCATTCGCTCGCCTCGGCCGAGAGCATAGCGTCGAAGGTTCGCGCGGCCTGGAGTCATGGAACTGGCGCTCTGCGCTTAGACGCTGCTCGCCAGCCTCGGCCGTCGCAGGCTTCTCAGGAGGCTGCGAAGCGTCTCCGACGGAGGGAATCTGTCGGCGCAACGCAGAAAACTACTGAAATCCCGCCGAGACGGCTGCGCAGAGGCCGCGGCGCAGAGCAGAAGCGAAGTCCAAGCCTTCTCGTCCATGCGATCCCTGGCACCGGTGCTCGCGTAGATGGCCGCCAGGTCGGAGAGGGCGCTGCAGGCGCGCGCACACTGGAATAGACTGCGCCGATCACCGCGGAGCGGCTCACTATGCTGCCCTGCTGAGGCGCACACAGCAGCGCGGACGCGCTGTCGCAGGGCCTGGAGGCCGACGGCGTCTCCGCCCATCAAGGGGCCAGTCAAGGTGGGCGCGAGATCTCGAACACTGCGGCGGCAGCCGCGGGAGCTGCCAGATTCGGCAACGGCATGCCGAGGCGGGCCCGGTGCACGGGACAACGGGAGACGCGGCCGAGGCGAGGGCCGGGCACGCCGAGCCGAGTGCGGCGGCAGCGCGAGGAGGGCGAGGCACGAGGGCAGAGAGAGGGCGCGGGAGAACTGGACTGCACGCGCGCGCGGATCACGCACATTTCGCGGTCCAGGGTCGCGCAGATCCACTGCTGCACAGGCGGTGGCGCGCCAAGGGAGCAGGGCCGCGGCTGCCCAAGGCGTGGGTTCAAGCAGTCACCAGAGCGGCGCCTCTCCAAGTAGCCGCGAAAGCCCATCTCAGCGCCCCGCGCCTCTCGAACGTCCAAAGGGACCTCGGCGGAGATGCCACCGACTATTCTAGGAAGCGCGGCTCGACACACCCTGCCCGGTTTTTAGCCGCCATGGCCTGGGCCTCGAGGGTCGCGTACCTCAGAGAGGCTAAAGCGCACACGGCAGCAGTCTTCAGAGTGGGCCCGACGGCCGAAGTGCTGCGGGGAGCCAACATCTAGGGCCTAGCGAACGGCAAGCTCAAGTCTCTCAGCGTAGCGATCGTCAAGGCTGAGGGCCGCCTGAGTAGGGGTCTTCGCTCGGGTTCGCGTCGATGGTCACTCGTGGGGGTTGGCGCAGGGACCCCATGGTGCAGCCGACGGCCGACGCCATCAAGACAGACGTTCGATAGTTAAGGCCAGCATGATCGGAGCTCCTGCTCTGTTCTGGCAAAACTGTTTGCAGCGGTGGGGGCCCTACTGATGTGAAAACCCACACAGTAGGCGTTGGTCAAAGCCCCTGCGGCGGCTTTATTCTCACGGTGGCTCGGATCGACACTCGTTTCCAGGGACCGCGGTGTGTTCTGCAGCCCTCGGGTGTTTCCTGGGGCGCCCGCGAACTGTCAACAGCCTGCCTGGCGGAGAGGGCCAGGCTTGCGCCTAGGGCCGAGACGGATCGCCAAGCTCTCTCCAAGGGAGGCCCTGCCCCAGCGTGGGAAGGCGAAGTGCTTGTTTTCTGGCGGCCTTTTGAACGAGTTGCTTCATCGGCAGCCGCCCTCGGAGGAGGCTGCGTTGGCGGAAGATTCGGAATGGTGGAGTGAGAGACGCCAACGCGCCCTCCGAGGGCTCGCCATAGGCACGGACTGGTACCAGCACCGTCTGTCGTTGCATGAACTTGCATGACAATCAGCAGCAGCCCTCATGTCGTCTGATCTTCAAGGGGGCCACGTCTTTTGTGACGGGTCGGGGTTCGACGTTGAGTCTCCCTCGGTCCGTCTGGCAGGGCAGGGGGATCGCGATCGATGACTGCTCCCTCAATATTTTAGGAGGTGGGTTCGGAGTGGTCCTCCCGTCCACCCTCCCCTCGCAAATTGCCAGAGACGGGGAGGACCACGCGGTGCACGTGGCCGCTGGTTTCCTTGCTGGTTCAATTACTGTGTACACGGACTGCGCAAGCACGCACGGCTGTTGCAAGGACGCTAGGCGTGCCACGTGGGCAGCGAATCCCAGAGCCCACGTTTGGAATCAGTCCTTTGGTGTTGGAGGCCTTGCCACGGCGACCTTCAAGAAAATGCCTGGGCACGCCACTATGTACGACATTATTGCGGGTAAGCTCACGGACTGTGAGCGGCAAGGCAACCACGAATCTGACGGCTTGGCCAAGCGAGGCGGTACTGTTGTCAGACTCCCGCCTGAGGGTGTCCTGCTCATCAAAAGTTGTGTTACCCTCGCCAGATCCACGCTCAAGTTTTATCGTTCAGGCCGAGGCGCACAACGGCGGCCTAGAGGCCTACGGCAATCTAGGGGCCAGGGCGCTGATCATGATCTCTCTCGAGGCCTCTTCTGATGCCAAGCTCGTGGTCGCAGAAGGCAGCCTGGCGTACGGGACCCAGGCCCCACCTGAGGCCCAGGCGGAGCCTGAACCAGAGGGCGAGTCGGGGATCTTCTGACCCGGGTCAATCCAGACCCGGGTCAATCAGGCCTGCAAAATCCTGCAAGATCCTGCACCCAAACCCGGGTCAATGCGAAGGATCCTGCAGGATCCTGCAGGATCCTGCACCCAAACCCGGGTCAATGCGACCCTGGCGCTGCAGGATCCTGCAAGATCCAGCGCTCTGGCTGACCCCCGTCTGCACTGACCCCCGTCTCGAGGCTCCCGAGCGAGCGGCTACGACCTCCGTCCGCTGTCCCCGCGGGCGACGCTCGACCGTGGTCTGCTGGAGGCCACACGCTCCTGGAGTTCCCAGTGCTCGAGTCGCGGGCGCGTTTCTCTTTGCGCTGCTCGTGGCGAGTGCGCCACCATATCTCAGCACGCCCAAGGCCTCCGAGGGAGGTGCCAAGGTCAGCAGTCCTCGCTCAAGGGCGCGGGCAAGAAAAACTCTGACGTGGCCTCATCGTCTTCCTGGTCGGGAGGCGCGGGAGCTGCTTGGGGCTCAGCTCGGGGCGACGCAGGACGTGCAGGCCCCGACGAGGGCCCAGAGGAGCGTTCCTGCTCCCAAGTTTTTGAATCGCACGAGCCTGTGCATGACGGACATCTGCCAGTGTTTCGGCCTCAATAAGGAACGTGCACGAGACCTGGGCCACCTGGCCAGTTCGAGGGCCGAGGCCGACTCAGAGGACGAGCATTTTTTTAAGGGTGCCCTGTGGGGTCTCTGGGGAAGGGAAAGAACACGCCCTGGGGACCGGCAAATTCCCAGTTGATGGGAACCCCTTGGACTCTCTCTTCTCTCTCGTCCCCTTGTGGGCGTCCGATCCTCCCTCCTCCCTACCTCATCCCTCCCTCCTTCCCCTCCCAAGAGGGGGACAAGGAGGCTCCTCGTCCATCCTGAAGGTCTTCTCCATGCGGAAGGTGTCCTCCTTGCTGAGACCCGTCGCCATGCCCCAGAACGGGGTGCCAGGCTGCGCGGCGGGGCAGCTCACAATCCCATCATGACGCTTGCTTCCAGCGCGCCTCCTCCTCATCCTCCTCCTCATCCTCCATCTCCTCCTCCTCCTCCTCCTCATCATCATCCTCCTCCTCCTCCTCCTCCTACTCCTCCTCCTCCTCCGTCTCCTCCCCCTCTACCTCTTCTGTGCTCCCCGCCTCCATTCTTCTGTTGCTGCTGCAAATCCACCTCATAATCCTGCTCCTCCTGCTCCTCCTCCTCCTGCTCCTCCTCCTCCTCCTCCTCCTCCTCCTCCGCCTCCTCCTCCTCATCATCATCATCATCATCATCATCATCATCATCATCATCATCATCATCATCATCATCATCATCATCATCATCATCATCATCATCATCATCATCATCATCATCATCATCAGCATCATCATCATCATCATCATCATCATCCTCATCCTCATCCTCATCATCACCATCATCACTATCATCATCATCATCATCATCATCATCATCATCATCATCACTATCATCATCATCATCATCATCATCATCCACCACCACCACCACCACCACCACCACCACATCATCATCATCATCATCATCATCATCACCACCACCACCACCATCATCATCATCATCATCATCATCATCACCATCATCATAATCATCATCATCATCATCATCATCATTATCATCATCAGCATCATCATCAGCGTCATCAACATCATCATCATCAGCATCATCATCAGCATCAGCATCAGCATCAGCATCAGCATCAGCATCAGCATCATCATCATCATCATCATCATCATAATCATAATCATCAGCATCATCATCGTCATCATCAGCATCATCAGCATCAGCAGCATCATCAGCATCATCATCATCAGAATCAGCATCATCGTCATCATCATCATCATCAGCAGTTTCATCATCATCAACATCATCAACATCATTATCATCATCAACATCAGCACAATCATCATCAGCACCAGCATCATCGTCATCATCACCATCATCAGCAGCATAAGCAGCATCAGAATCATCATCATCGTCATCATCATCATCATCATCAGCATCATCATCATCCTCGTCCCCGTCCTCATCATCATCAACAGCATCAGCATCAGCAGCATCATCAGCATCATCATCCTCATCATCAGCAGCAGCATCATTAGCATCATCATCAAAATCATCATCAACCTCAACATGAACATCATCATGATCACCATCATAATCCTCATCATCATCAGCGTCATGAGCATCATCCTCGCCCCGTCCTTATCATCATCAGCATCATCATCAGCATCATCATCAGCAGCAGCAGCATCGTCATCAGCATCATCATCACCATCATCATCGCCAGCATCATCAGCATCAGTATCGGCATCAACAGCATCACTATAAGCATCATCGTCATCACCATCATCATCATCAGCAGCATCAGCATCATCATCAGCATCATCAGCATCAGCACCAGCATCAGAAGCGGCATCATCATCATCCGCATCATCAACAGAATCATCATCGTCATCATCATCATCATCATCAGCATCATCACCATCAGCATCAGCATCATAATCATAGTCATCAGCATCACCATAATCCTATCTTCAGAATCATCATCAGCACCATCATCTGCATCATCATCACCATCAGCATCACCATCATCATCGTCACCATCATGCACGTCAGCGTTGTCTTCATGATCCTTATCATCGTCACAGCCATCATCATCATCATCATCATCATCATCATCATCATCATAAGCATCAGTATCATCAGCATCATCGTTAGGATCAGGATCATTATCACCATTATAGTATCATCAGCATCGTCATCATCGTCATCATCGTCATCATCGTCGTCAGCATCATCATCAGCACCATCAGCAGCACCATTGGCATCGTCATAGACAGAATAAACATCCTCAATATAATCATCGTCATCAGCATAATCATCATCGTCATCATCAATATAGTCAGCATCATCTGTCATTATCAGCGTCGCCGGCATCATCATCATCATCATCATCAGCGTCATCATCATAAGCGTCATCGTCATCGCCATCACCAGCATCATCATCAGCAGCAGCCACATCAGCAACATCATCATCGGCGTCATCGCCATCACAATCATCATCAGCAGCAGCACCGTAGTCGCCATTAGCAACAGCGTCGTCGCCAGCACCAACACCAGCTTAAGCATCATCATCATCATCATCATCATCATCATCATCATCATCATCATCATAATCAGCATCATCAACAACATCATTATCATCATCATTATCATCATGATCATCAACAGCAGCATCACCGTCCTCAGCATCGCCATCAACTTCATCATCAACATCATCAGCAGCAGCATCATCATTATCAGCATCAGCATCAGCATCATCATCGGCAGCATCATCGTCGTCGTAGTCATCAGCATCAACATGATCGTCATCATCAATATCATCAGCAGCAGCATCAGCAACAGCATCGGCATCATAATGATCACAATCACCATCAGCATCATCATCACCGTCATCGTCATCATCGTCAGCAGCATCAGCATCACCATCACCACCATCATCATCATCATCAGCATCGTCTTGATCAGCATCATCATCATCATCGTCATCATCCTCATCATCATTATCATCCTGCTCTCTGGTTTGCTCCATCTGCTCGTTTTCCCCCATCACACTCCTCCTCCTCGTCATCATCATCGCCACCATCGTCATCAACACCACCGCCAGCATAACCCCTATATCCATCCTCCACAACCACCATCATTAACATCATCATAATCATCACCGTCATAAGTACCACCATAACCATCATCAGCATCATCATTATCATCATTATCATCATCACCATATGCACCTCATTATAATCGTCATGATTAACAGCAGCAGCAGTACCAACAGAAGTATCACCTCCATCATCATCATCATCATCATCATCATCATCATCATCACTACTCGTCATCGTTCATTCTCATCAACATGATCAGCAGCATCATCATCATCATCATCATCATCAGAATCAGCATCGTCAGCATCATCAGCAGCATCAACATCGTCGTCAATACCATCAGCATCATCATCAGCAGCAGCAGCATAATCATCATAAGCATCATCGTCATCATCAACAACATCACCATCTCCATCATCACCGCCACCACCACCTTTATGACCTCATCAGAACCGAGGGCGCGCCGCTGGTCGACCGTGGACCCCCCTTTCCCTGGTCGTCCGTGCCGGGCCCCGTCCCTCGCCTGTTCAGACCACAAAATACTTCCGGCTGCACTGCATCAAGCTTGGGCACGTTTCCAGCGGAAGCCTGGAAGGCAGCAGTGCGCGAGCATAACGTCTAGCGCACGCTGGTGCCGTTGCCCACGTGATGTGCCTACTGACACGCGGCTTCATTCACTCATTCCTGGACTACTCCCTCCCCCGACTGTCCAAGGGTAAGTCGGGCGTGTCCCCCTACAGGGGGATTTTCGACGAAAAATAAAAAATACTCAAAAAATACACCCCAAAAGGGCAAAAGTAGTCAAAAATCGTCCTCAGACTACTGTTTGACTATTTTTGAATATTCCTCCTGTAGAGGGACAGGCCCGATCTAAGTCCAAGGGGGTTGAGTCCCCCCCCCAAGCCCGATCAAAACCCCCCGCAAGCTCCGCGCACTCCCACGGCGATCCCCCAGGCCACTTCCAGGGCGTCTCCAAGCGGGCGTTGGCAGACCTGGGTTTAGTGGGACCTGGTTTAGTGATGTGTACTGGGGGACGCCCCCCCCCCGCCCCGTTCCACTAACAGGAACGGCCGTCACCCGAAAAAATACCAGCTACGGCAGACCTGGTTTAGTGATTCTGGCCAATTCAGGGGCTCCGGGGCCCTACCACTAAGTGGGTCCCCTTACTTGGGGTCCTGGCTATACCCGATCCAAGACGCCCACAAAGGGGCCCCGCGGGCCTTCAATATTGGTTTCAGACAACATGCTGTTGCTCAAGATGGGCTCCGAGATGGCAAGAGGAGGCTCAAGATAGCTCCCAAGAATGGTCTGGGCCCGAAGCTGGCCTGAGCTGGCCCGTTGCATCCTGGGGAGGCACGAGAAGATCACCCCAGCACGGATTGATAACCAAAGGGGCGCGTCGCGGGAGCACCACGTTGTACTCCGGGAAGTCTGGGTCGTGGGTGTTGGACATCCACATCCTGCCGGCTCAACATAGGCTGATTGAGTCACAACCGTTGTCGCCGTCATCACGACCATCCTCACCCATCATAACTACAAGGCACCACAACCACGTCATATGCGCGACGGCGACGACGACGACGACGACGTCTTCGACGACGACGACGACGACGACGACGACGACGACGACAACGACGACGACGACGACGACGACGGCAGCAACTGACGACGACGACGACGGCGACGACGACGACGACGACGACGACGACGACGACGACGACGGCGACGTCGACGACGACGACGACGGCAGCAGCTGACGACGACGACAACGACGACGACGACTGCGGCGACGACGACGACGACGACGACGACAAGGCCGACGACGACGACGACGACGACGACGACGGCGACGACGAAGACAACGAGGGTGACGACGACAACGAAACAAAGACCAGGACGGGGTCGACGACGACGACGACGACGACGACGACGACGACGACGACGACGACAGCCGCCTCTGAAGGTCCCCAGAGGTATCCAGACGCTTCAGGAGGCTCCCAGAAGCCTTTGGAGGTATTTGGGGGCCCTTCGAAGCCCTCGGAAACGACGACGACGACGAGGACGAGGACGAGGGCGAGGACGACGACGACGAGGACGAGGGCCATTCACTAGATGCGCTAAGTGCCCATCCGCGCGGGCAACGAAATATATCCACAAATCTATATATATATATATATACATACATACATACATACATACATACATACATACATACCGATAGGACCACCCTACGGGTGATAAGGAGGGCGGGGGGAGGGGGAGGCGATCGATGTGCGATGACTCCCACCTGCCGCCACCAAAGAATGCGCGGGCAAACATATACAACATACGTCCACGTGCTTCTATCTAATATATATATATATATATATATAGAATTATCAATATTTCTATCTATACATCCATATACCTATCTGTCGATCGGGTCGACACATGAGTCGGCATACCATGGCTGACGGCGAGGCGGTGGCAGTGGCGGTGGCGGTGACGGGCAAGACCTTCTATCTCTATATAGTTAAATATATCGGCATTTTTATGTAGATCGATAAATCGGAGGTTGGGGGGTGAGATCGCAAGGTAACGGAGTCCCCCCACCGGGAAATCGAGTTTCGAATTCGTGCTCGCGCCGCGCGTGCGGGCGAGGCGAAGCTGCGTGGGCCAGCGAGAGGAATTCACTCTGCTGTCGCTGGGGGTCCGCCAACACAAATGTTTCCCCCCTCCCGGCCTTGTCAAGCGGTAGCCCACGTTGTCCCGTCGGTTGCCCGCTGGTTGCTCATCATGGTTGCTCATCATGGTTGCTCATCATTGTCCCGCCGGTGGCTCATCATGGTTGCTCATCATCGTCGACTGGGACGTCGTGGGCTGAGTGCCGCGTCGCGCAGCGGCAAACCGAACGACACAAGTCGCCCAAGCGAAGGAACAACAAAAAATCCGCCACGACATCCACACCATCATCGCCCATCAGCACCACGTTCATCACAGTTGTCGTCATGAGCCACCCCCCTCCCCCCACCCCTCCACAACCTCCTTATCACCCGCAGGGTGGTCGCATAGGTATGTCTACACATCAATCTCTCGGTCGAACTATCTATCTATCGATCTCTCTATCGGGTCAACCGTCGGGACAACCATCGGGACAACCATCCGGACAACCATCGGGACAACCATCGGGAAAGCCATCGGGGCAACCATCGGGACTGCCATCGGGGCAACCATCGGGACAACCATCGGGACAACCATCGGGACACCCATCGGGACAACCATCGGGGCAACCATCGGGACACCCATCGGGACAACCATCGGGACAACCGTCGGGAAAACCATCAGGACAACCATCGGGACAGCCGTCGGGGCAACCATGGATTCAACCATCGGGACACCCATCGGAACAACCATCGGGACAACCATCGGGGCAACCGTCGGGACAACCATCGGGACAACCATTGGAACAACCATCGGGACAACCATCGGGACAACCATCGGGAAAACCATCGGGACAATCTGAACAACCATCGGGACAACCATGGGGACAGCAGTCGGGACAACCATCGGGGCAACCATCGGAACAATCATCGGGACAACCATCGGGACAACCATCGGGACAACCATCGGGACAACCATCGGGACAACCATCGGGACAACCATCGGGACAACCATCGGGACAACCATCGGGACAACCATCGGGACAACCATCGGGACAACCATCGGGACAACCATCGGGACAACCATCGGGACAACCCATCGGGACAACCATCGGGACAACCGGGACAACCATCGGGACAACCATCGGGACAACCATCGGGAAAACCATCTGGACAACCATCGGTGCAACACCATCGGGACAACACCATCGGGACAACCATCGGGACAACCATCGGGACAACCATCGGGACAACCATCGGGAAAGCCATCGGGGCAACCATCGAGGGACAACATCCTCTCGGGACAACCATCGGGACAACCATCGGGACAACCATCGGGACAACAGTCGGGACAACCATCGGGGCAACCATCGGGACAACCATCTGGACAACCATCGGGACAACCATGGGGGCAACCATCGGGACAATCATCGGGGCACCCATTGGGACAACCATCGGGACAACCGTCGGGACAACCACCGGGACAACCATCGGGAAAACCATCTGGACAACCATCGGTGCAACACCATCGGGACAACACCATCGGGACAACCATCGGGACAACCATCGGGACAACCATCGGGACACCCATCGGGACAACCATCGGGACAACCATCGGGGCAACCATCGGGACAACCATCGGGACAACCATCGGCACACCCGTCGGGCCAACCGTCAGGCCAACCATCGGGACACCCATCGGGACAACCATCGGGACAACCATCGAGACAACCATCGGGACAACAGTCGGGACAACCATCGGGACAACCATCGGGACAACCATCGGGACAACCATCGGGACAACCATCGGGGCAACCATCGGGACAATCATCGGGACACCCATTGGGACAACCATCGGGACAACCATCGGGACAACCACCGGGACAACAATCGGGACAACCATCGGGACAACCATCGGGACAACCCGCGGGACAACTATCGGGGGCCGCGCCCTGCCGGGGGGGGGGGGGGGCGGGCGACCTTTTGGGCTCCATGCGGCTCTACAAGTGCAGGAACTTGCGCAGGTTCGCCTCGCCCGCACGCACGACGCGAACCGAAACCGAAACCGAATTCCGGGCCGGGGTCACTTCCGCTCACACCCCCCAACCCCCGATGCATAGAGATAAATATTATATATACATATATATATGTATAGCAAAGAACCTCCATCGACGGCTCTGCCCGAACGAGGTCGTGCGACACGAGCTTGAAAGGAACATCGTTCGCGGGGCACCGCGCCGCCTCGGGCGGAACGCGCCACAGGTCGGAGTCCACTGCGCGGCAGACCGCCCCAGACACACTGCAGGATCGCCTTGGCACGCTGGCGCTCCGACGAGAGAACCTCAGCGTCAACGGACGACACGGCGTGCGCTCAGGCCCAGGAGTCACGGGGGGGGTTTCTCGCCAGAGTCTTGTTCCCTGCTCAGCAGCCTTTTTCAGGGTTCAGCCTGAGTTCGCCAGAGGACGATAACGTTACTGAACTTCGCCTAGCGGTTGAGAAAAGTTATAACCAGAGAGTGCTTGGCGAATCAACCAGCGCACACGTTGCCCACACACCACATGAGAGGGATCCCGAGAGAGAGGACCTCCCCAGGGCTCTTGCGGGCAGTGGCCCAGCTGAAAGTCGGCGGCTCTCAGGAACCGACCGCCCCAGGAATCAGCCTCCAGATCTTAGCATGCTCACCCTAGAGTTAGGTCGGGCCTGTCCCCTTACAGGGGGATGTTCGACGAAAAATGAAAAATACAAAAAAAAACTCCAAAATACCTAAGAAAATATAAAAACAAAAAAAGTCCCCCGACTATGTTTTAACTATTTTTGAATATTCCCCCTGTGGAGAGACAGGCCCGACTTAACCCTAGAGCTCTCGAGGGCGGAGGAGCCCCAGGCGGAGCCCTCAGAAACAACACAATGCAACCAAGTCACTCACGACATGCTGGGTTGCAGAGGCGTGCCGAACTGGACAGTGCACTGCACAGCGGCGTGCTCTGCCGACGGTCTGAATGCCAGGGGGCGGGCCGAGCAGTGAATCATCATCAATCTGCACCGCGGCCTACCCGCAGAGCGTCCATTCAGGCTGCGCCGACTCGAAGCCCGACGACTCTGGCCCCCGCGCGCTCGCCTCGGCGTCACCCCAGGAGAAGGTCGCAAGCGCGCTTCCCGCGGCCTTCAACGTGGAAGCACGCGGCACGTCGGGCAGGCCGCACGCGCGCTCCAGGTCGACGCGGCGGCAGGCCGCACCCCTGCCCGGCAGCGTCGTCCTCAGGGCCTCGAGGGCCTCCAGGAGCGCCGGCAGCGGGCGGCCGGGTGGAACCTCCTGCAGCTTCGGGCATCCCAACCGCGTGCGCCCATAGCTGCCGCACTCCGCGCCACGCGCCCTGCAGCACGCTGCACCGCGATCCTCCGCCGCCGCTCTCCGCGCAGGAGTGGAGCAGCGGCCTTGCCACGGGAACTGCAGAGCGCCCAACTGCTGGCAGCGAACGCAGGCCAAGGCGGAGGCCTCGCACCCAGCCTGACACCAGGCGCATATGCCCCAGGAGCCGCCTCGCCTACCACCGTCGGCCGACTTTATCAAGCAGCGGCGGAGATCTTCCAGCAGCACTCGCAGGAGGGAGAAGATCTCCAAAACATCGGACCTGACATGAACCATCGACAGCTCCTAGCCCAGCCTCCGCAACGCAACCCATGTGGAGGTCAAAGCACCTCGTGCGGCGCTGAAGGTGGAGCCGCCGATCGCGTGCTGGAGCTCGCCCCAAGCGCGCTGGAGCCTCGCCCCCGAAGCGCGACCGCCCCACAGCCAGCCAGAGCAACCGCCGGATGAGCGGGACCAACGCGTCGCTGATTGGCTCGTATCTAGCGCTGGGGTGCGTGATGAGGAGTCTCGTTTAACCGATCCCCATCCCCAGCGGCATGGCCTGGGCCCCACTGGCCGATTTACCCCCCTAGATGGGGACATAGGTCGTTCCCTTCGGGTTTCGAGGCGTGTATCCCCAACTGGGGTGGTAATTTGGTGGGGGTCTCGAAGGGGGTGGGGATGGGGATGGGGATCGTTTAAACGATACCGAGATTGGGTACAAGGGCTCCTGACTTCGCGCTTCGCGCTGCGCGAAGCGCGAAGCGCGAACAACTTCGCGCTCTCGCGCCGCCCCCAAAGGGGAGAAGAGGAGGACGAGGAGGAGGGGGAGGAGGAACGAGGCCCGCGGAGCGCGAAGCGCGAACGACTTCGCGCCCCTCGTGGGAGCCCCATGGGGCACGCCGTGCGCGCCGAGCCCGGCTGCCACCCAGTCAGCGTCGCCGCAGTGCACCGCAGAGGCCGACGCCGAGGGTCCGCAACGCCGCCACGCCCCCCGCCGCCGCGGGCGGCAGGACGGGGCGGGCCCCGTGCCCCAGGAGAGGAGAGGGAGGAGGGGAAAGAAGAGGGAGGGTAGGAGAAAAAAAGGAAGAGGGAAAGATGAGGCGCGGCAGTCTCAGCACGTTTCAGAGGGTGCTGCTCAAACGGTTCGGGCAGAAAAAAAAACGAAGCCCAAACAGTAAAGGCGACGCCAAGTCTTTGAGCAGGGCCGCAGGGGCGCAGCCTGGCGCCCCGCGCCGCGAGCTGGGCGAGGCCCCTTCGGCGGCCTCGCGCTCGGCGGGCGCCGACCCTGGCAGCTCTTGTGGGCCCACGTTCCACCACCACTGCCACAGGTAGGAGAGGGAGGAGGAGGAGGAGGAGGAGGAGGAGGAGGAGGAGGAGGAGGAGGAGGAGGAGGAGTAGGGCCTCCTCATCCCCCCCTTCTCCCCTGTCCTACAGAGGGGAGTGGCGGTGGAGAAGTTGCCCATCAAGCTTCTTGGCATCGGACCACCCGCGGCCCATGGCCCATGGCGTTCGTGGCCAAGGTTGCGTATCGCACGCCGCGGGCGCAGGCCAAGGTGAAGCGCCCTGTTTCGGAAGGGGTGCTGGAATCGCGCACGGCTGAACTCCGGGCCCGACTTGGCCTGCTTGGTCAAGCCTTATATGGAGGCCCTGCACACAGCGAGTCAACTCGATGGCGGCCGCTTCTGGCTGCATAGCTTCCGCGTCAGGCGGGCCCGTGAAATGAAGCGAGACGCCGTCCATCAACTGGCTCGGCCATACGTTAGCGTGCATGTTGCTGAGCGTGGCCATCGTGCGGTATGTCAGCACCAACAACGCCGTGGGCGCATGCGTGCACCCCGCAAGCACGCCCTGGAGCACCAGCAGCGCCAGCGAAAGGCTGGGGGTCACACGGACCCTTCGCGGCTGGTGGTAGAGTTCAACCATCATCCTACCAAGCGCAATGGGAAATCGCACTCCCTCGCCTCCAGCAGCAGCTGGCTGCTGTCCACAAGCTCGAAGCACATGGCCATGTCGCCGACCCACGCGCCACTCTGCTCGTTCAGCAGCGTGGCGACCTCCTGCTCGAGGTTCAAGTCGATCTCGGAGTCGCTGGAGGTGTGTCGAGAGCGACTGCCCCACACCCAAGACGCAGCGTGGGCACCTCCCCACTGCTTCATAGCGAGCGGCGGAGCTTCCCCCACGGGCGCGTGAGGGTGTGCGGAGCAGGGCGATGAGGCGCTTGGCCAACTGCACCAAAACTGTCTCGACTCGCCCATCTGGCAAGAAGCCCCACCTTTCACATGCCTCCAGGAGCCTCGGGACCGCCAGAAGCCCCTCGTCCGACAGTAAGTACAATGACTTCGGCGCCAGACGCGTGAAGCCCCTGGCAGTGGTCGCCGAGTCTCTCCACGTGGCCTGCCTCATCGCCGACAAGGTGATCGGCGGCAAGAGGTCCCACCAGTGGAGATCGGTTGGCTTGGAAAGCCACGCCGCGCCGTGATAAGACCAGACATCCTCCCATTCATGCAGCGCCGCGTCGGCGATTGCGTAGGGCTGAACGTCGCCCGCCAGCTGCAGTAAGGGCTGCATAGGGGCCAACGTGGAGGCTCGATGAACCCCCCGCGCCCTGCGGAAGACCTGCAGCCAGCCGTGGCGAGACCAGCAGCAGAATGCCCGTCTGCCAGTATTTAGGATGAAAGGGGGATCAAGAGAGAAAAGGGACGGGAAGGAGGGAAGAGGGGAAGAGCTAGGATCAGCGCGAAGGAGTGCAAGGGAAAGTTTAAGGAGGAAGGAAGGGGGGGAGGAGGATGGAGGAGGGGGTGGAGGTGGAGGTGGGGGAGGAGGAGGAGGATTGCAATGTAGCGCTGATGCCCTTGAGGGTAGGCATGACCAGGAGAAGAAAGATAAGAAGATGGGGATATTCAATATTTACGGCCTCCCAGTCCGCACTTCTCGGCCGCGGCACCAGAGATGCTGGACAGCTCGGCGCGAATACCACGCGCGGAAAGCATCCACAGGATCGGCAATCTATGGGATCGTGCCTCGGTGTCGAGCCCACGAGGACTGAGAGAGTAAAAAGATAACGATACTGGTACTCCGCGGCCATCCCCTGGGTGCGTTCTGACCCAAATTTCGCGGCGAGTCCAGCCGTGTCGGCGAGGGAAGGGTAGGCGTATCGGTACCCCTTACGAGTCTAGAAGACATGAATATGTATACGTTCCTCGCTCGAGAAATCTGGCTTCTCCGCTCGACTGGAAAGAGAAACGACGACAACAGCGCTCGGGTGCCCGTCCAGTACGGGTGCCACGGCAGGTTGTACTGCGCGATCCTCGGGCGCGGTCGCGGGCGGGAAAGACGGACCAGCTGCCAATGTATGTTGCATCTTCGGGGATCTTCTGTATCCCATCGCGCCGCTATCGGCGTCAAATCCGTGTCGAATCCAAGTCGAGTCCACGAATCCACATCAAATCCGTCTCGAATCCACGTCGAATCCACGTCAAATCCGCGTCGGATACAAGTCGGACGCTACGTGGAAAAGGACCACTATTAAAGTACATACGAGGCCCACAGAAGTTGCAACGTAAGCCGGGGGGACCACGAGGAATGTGTTTTTTGCTTTGAGCGCATTTGCGTCTTTCGGGAATGGCGCTTCCACCAACATCCCTCGAGGATCGAAGATCGACGCTTCCACGTCCTCTACAACTGCTCGGTGGCCTCTTGGAGCACCATGTCGTGGCAACCGCGGCACAAGGCGCGGGCACGCGCGGAGATGTAGGAGCTGCCAGCACAGGCGCAGACCAGCCCGCGCTAGAGGCAAGCCCGAGCGGTGCCCGAGTCCCGAGGCGCTGCTGAGAGGAACGTGTTGGCATCCCAGGGCACCGACCTCCGCGCACCGCGCCCCAAGACGTGCGACGGGCCATTACCTCCGCGCCGTGGTGCCCTGGCGCCGCCTAATTGAAGAGAAGCAGCGAAGCAGCCGCTCGCGCCCAGACCGCGACGAGCGGAGCAAGTTTGCCTTCGCGCCTGCGCGGGTGACCTGCGGGGCAAGAGAGCCGGGCGCCACAAGGCCCCCCGGCAAAGCTCCCCAGCCAAGACCCTGCAGACATCCCTGCTCCCCGTCCCTCCCTTCCTCCTCCCTCTCCCTCCCCTCCTCCTCCACCTCCTCCTCCTCCTCCTCCCCCTCCCCCTCCTCCTCCTCCTCCTCCTCCTCCTCCTCCTCCTCCTCCTCCTCCCCCTCCCCCTCCTCCTCCTCCAACTCCGCCTCCTCCTCCTCCGCCTCCTCCGCCTCCTCCGCCTCCTCCGCCTCCTCCGCCTCCTCCTCCTCCTCCTCCTCCTCCTCCTCCTCCTCCCTCCTCCTCCTCCTCCTCCCTCCTCTCCTCCTCCTCCTCCTCCTCCTCCTCCTCCTCCTCCTCCAGTCCTTTTCCTTATGACTAACTTCTCCCTGTCGCACACCGAGGCACGTTTTTAGGGCGGGCTGGGCGTTTCGCCTGAGACTTCCTCACCAGTTACGATTCGGAAGCTCAAAAGTGGCAACATATACACAGATGGAGGGCGGGTGGTTTTCAAAATGTGGCTCGCGCCTCCGCGCCACGCACATTCGTGTTTCCCTAAATTTGCAATAGTTTCACGGATTGAGGGTGGGTGGCTTTCAAAATGTAGCTCTCGCCTCAGCGCCACGCACATTCATTTTAAACATGTGCAATAGTTTCACGGATTTGAGGGCGGGTGGTTTTCCAAAGTAGCTCTCGCTTTTGCGCCGCGCACATCCGCTTTAAACATCAAAAGAGTTTCATGGATTGAGGGCGGGTTGTTTTCAAAATGTGGCTCTCGCCTCAGCGCCGCGAGCACTCATTGCAAACATTTGCAAGGGTTTCACGGGTTAAGGGCGGCTCCTTTTCAAAATGTGGCTCTCGCCTTCGCGCCACGCACATTTGTTCAGACAATTTGGGAAAGTTTCACGGGTTCCCATGATCAACGTATCAGAAATGGTGTTTTGGAAGGGTTCAAGATTATGCGGCCGCAACAGTTCTGTGGATTCGCCGTGTTGAAGACCCAAGAATGGCGTTCTGGCACGATTCCGGACCGTCAAGGCGCAGCAGCCAGGTTGACCCGTGGCGTTGAAATCCCGAGAACAATGTTTTGGCATGCTTCAGGGTCTTCAGGGGTGTTTTCCAACGAGGCAATTCCTTCAATGGACATGAACCGTTGTAAGGGGCGAATGAAGAGGTAGCTTGGAGGAAGGCTGAATTCCAACATCGTTGATGACTCGTTGTTTGCACTGCTCCTCCTCCTCCTCCTCCTCCTCCTCCTCCTCCTCCTCCTCCTCCTCCTCCTCCTCCTCCTCCTCCTCCTCCTCCTCCTCCTCCTCCTCCTCCTCCTCCTCCTCCTCCTCCTCCTCCTCCTCCTCCTCCGCCTCCTCCTCCTCCTCCTGCCTCCTCCTCGCCTCCTCCTTCTAACCCCTCCCCCCTTCTCTCCTCCCCTCCTCCCTCCGCTTCCTCCCCCTCCCCTGCCAGCCTCCCAGCCCCCCGCCTCGGCCGCTAGGCGCTGCCCAGCGGCCCGCACCCGAGGAGGCCGCGACGGGAGGGCCGAAGGGGCGGGGCGGTGCAGTCCAGGTGCCGCCGCGCTCGGTGCGGCGCCTCGGGCGACCGCTCTTCGCCGCCGTCTTCGCCGCCGTCACCGTCCCTGCCGCCGCCGCTGCGAGGCGAGGGTTAATCCACAACCACCGCCTGGGGAATCGATGGGCAAGGCCTCGGCAGGCGATGGGCATGAATATGCGTGCCCACCCAAGGCCTGAAAGATCGATCCCCCAGGCGGTGGTTTTGGGTACACCCCCGCCTCGCCGTCGCCGTCGCCGCCTGGTGTCGAGAGCGGAAGAGCCACCATCATGATAAGCAACCCGAAACCCCACCGGCGACGCATTGTTGTCAACGGGCCCAGTGCAGGGCTCGAGCAGCTCAGGACCGAATTGATACCAGAGAAAAAAAACAATCCGAATATGTTTAGGGCTAAAGGGCTATGGGGCTATAGGGCTATAGGACCATAGGGCTCTAGGTCTCTGGGTCTATAGGGCTATAGGGCTATAGGGCTATGGGCATATAGAGCTATAGGGCTACAGGGCTATAGGGCTATAGGGCTGTAAAGGCTATCAGGCTATCAGGCTATCAGGCTATAGGGCTATAGGGCTATAGGACTATAAGGCTATAGGGTTATAGGGTTATAGGGCTATAGGCCTATAAGGCTATGGGGCTATTGGGGCTATAGGACTATAGGGCTATAGGGCTATAGGGCTACAGGACGGTAGGGCTATAGGGCTATCGGGCTATAGGGCTATAAAGTCATAGGGCTACAAGGCTATAAGGCTGTAGGGCTATAGGGCTATAGGGCTGCAGGGCTACAGGGCTACAGGGCTACCATGGGGCTGTAGGGCTACAGGGCTAGAAGGCTACAAAACTGTAGGACTGTAGGGCTGTAGGGCTACCGGGCACCCAGGCGGGCTGCCGAAATCGGCGACGCAACTCCCAGGCACCTGGGCACCCGGGCACCCGGGCACCCGGGCGTGCTGCCGAAATCGGCGCCGCACCTCACCTAACCATACGAATCCGCTAGGACGCCTTCAGAGGCAAGCTCTGATTGTGGAAAAACTCAACGGGCCCAGTGCAGGGCTCGAGCAGCTTAGGACCGAAAAAACCCAGGGGCTTGGTGAACGATCATCGTCATCATCATCAGCAGCAGCAGCAACAGTATTATCGTCAGCAGCAGCAGCATCAGCAGCATCATACAAAAATAGTAATGGCAACACGAGTAAAAACCAGAATGAAAAGAACAACAGCATCATCATCATGCGCAGCACCATCATCATCAGCACCATCAGCACCATCGCCAGCACCATCACCATCACCATCACCATCATCATCATCAGCATCATCATCAGCAGCATCACCATCATCATCACAATCACAATCATCATCACAAACCATCATCATCATCATCAGCATCAGCATCAGCAACAACAGTATTACCAGCGCCATCATCATCCTAACCATCGTCATCAACAGCAACAGCATCACCATAATCGTCATCATCACCATCATCGACACCACCTCTTCGACATCATCATCGTCAACAGCAACATCATCACCATCAGCAGCACCATCATCAGCAGCAGCAGCAACAGCATCATCATCATCACCAGCATCATCATCATCATCATCATCATCATCACCATCACCATTAACATCATCATCAGCATCATCAGCAACATCGACATCATAATCATCATCATTATCATCATCATCATCAGCAGCAGCATCACCACAATCACCATCACCATCACCATCACCATCATCATCACCATCACTATCACAATCACAATCACCATCATCATCATCATCAGCATCATCAGCATCATCATCATCATCATCACAAACCATCATCATCATCATCAGCAGCAGCATCACCACCATCGTCATCATCATCAGCAAGATCAACTTCACCAGCACCATCATCATCATCATCATCAGCAGTAGCATGATCATCTTCAGAATCATCATGATCATCATCATCATCATCATCATCATCATCAGCATCCCCACCATCGACACCACATCTTCATCATCATCAGCAGCAGCATCATCATCAGCATCAGCATCATCATAATCAGCAGCAGCAACAATGTCATCATCAGCAGCGTTCTCAACATCATCAGCACCATCATCATGATCAGCATCAACAGCATCGACACCACATCATCGGAATCATCATCAGCCGCATTATCATCATCATCATCACCATAAGAATCACAATCACCACCACCATCATCAGCACCATCAGCATCATCATCAGATTCATCGGCAACATCAGCATCACCAGCACCATCATCATCATCATCATAATCATCATCATCATCATCAGCATCATCATCCTAACAATCATCATCAACAACATCGACAACACATCATCAACATCATTGGCACCACCACCCGCATCATCCCTATCAGCATCATCATCAGCATCCTCAGCATGAGCGCTATCATCAGAATCATCATCAGCAGCAGCATCACCATCACCAGGAGTAGCAGCAGCAGTTCATCATCAGCATCATCATTATCACCATCATCATCATGATCGACACCACCACCATCATCATCATCATCATCATCATTAGCAGCATCATCATCATCATCAGCATCAACAACATCAGCATCATCAGCACTCTCAGCCTCATCATCATAATCAGCATCTCCATCATCGACACCAAAACAACCACCTCCACCATCATCATCATCAGCATCATCATCATCATCATCATCATCATCGTCATCATCATCATCATCGTCAGCATCATCATCACCAGCGTCATCAGCATGAGCATCATCATCAGCAGCAGCATCATCAGCCTCAGCAGCAACAGCATCATCATCAGCAGCAGCATCATCAAACTCGTTCATAATCATCATCATAAGCATCATCTGCATCATCATTACCACAATCACCATCACCATCACCATCACTATCACCATCGCCATCATCATCATCAATATCATCAGCATCATCATCATCATCAGCAACCTCAGCACCATCATCAGCATCATCATCCTCATCATAATCGACACCACCACCATCATCGTCGTCATCAGCAGCATCAGCATCGCCATCATCATCAGCATCGTCATCATCAGCAGTATCATGACCATCATCAACAGCAGCATCGTCATCATTGTATCCATCATCATCAGCATTACCAGAATCAGCATCGTCATCGACGCCACCACCACCACCACCGTCAGCATTGTCATCAGCACCGTCATCACCGTCATGACCATCATCATCATCACCATCATCAGCAGCATCATCATCAGCATCATCACCATCCCCATCACCATCATCATCGGCATCATCAGTATCGTCATCATCATCAGCAACATCAGCATCATCAGCACCACCATCATCATCATCCTCATCATCATCACCATCATCACCACCACCATCATCCTCATCAGCACCAGCATCACCATCATCATCAGCATCGTTATCATTTGCAGCATCATCATCACCATCATCATCAGCAGCATCATCAAAATCAGCATCACCATCATCAGAATCAGCAGCATCATCATCGACGCCACCACGACCACCACCGGCAGCAGTGTCATCGTCATCACCATTATCACCATCAACAGCATCATCATCAAAGTCCGACTCACCACTATCATCCTCACCAACACCAGCATCGCCATCATCACCAGAAGCAGCATCAGCATCATAATCCCCGCTATCCCCCTCATCATAGTTGTCATCGTCATCACCACCACCAGAATCATCAACCTTCTCTTTCGAATAGGCATCATCCCCGTCAGGATCATCACCACCATCATCAACATCGCCACCTCATCATCAGCATCGTCCTCATCTTCAGCATCAGGATACGTAGTCATCATGTTGATGATCAGAATCAGCATCACCCGCATCACAATCATCGTCAACATCACCAGCATCATCATTGTCATCATCACCTCATCATCATCATTGTCATCATCATCATCTTCCATACCGTCCTCACCACCATCGGCATCATCGTCATCAGCATCATCGTCATCATCAGTATCAACATCATCACCATCGCCATCACCAGAGTCATACACAACACCAGCACCAACATAATCGACATCATCATCATCTGTCATCCTCATCATCGTCAGCAGCACTGACGCCAGCATCGTCATCATCGAAATGATAACAGCAAGCAGCATCATCATCATCATCATCATCATTATCAGTACCATCAGGATCATCAATATCAGCATCAGCAGCAGCATCATCATCACAACCGTCGTCGTCGTCAGCGTCATAAGTTATCATCATCAGCATCAGCATCATCAGCAGCAGCATCATTACATCATTACATCATCATCATCATCATCATCATCATCATCATCATCATCATCATCGTCATCGTCATCGTCATCGTCATCATCATCATCATCATCATCATCATCATCATCATCAGCGGCATCATCGTCATCACCCTCATCATCAGTATAAAAATCATCAGCATCATCAGAAGCATCATCACCATGACCACCACCGTCATCATCATCATCATCATCATCATCATCATCATCATCATCGTCATCACCACTACCATCACCATCACCATCCCTCTTCATCACCGTCCTCATCCCCATCCCGACTTCACCCATCTTCCTCATCACCACCCCTCATTCACCACCATCCCTCATCCATCCCTCATCACCGGTCATCATCATCACTCACCCATCCCTCACCATCATCCCCAATTCATCGTCATTCCTCTTCCTCATCTTCACTATCTTCATCATCATCCTCATCATCTCTCCTCCTCCCTCTTCCTCATCATTCCTCTTCATCATTATCATAGTTAATCATCATCATTATCATCATCAGCATCATCACCCCGCTTCGTCATCATGCCTCCCTCCCGCATCCTCTCTCTTCCGTCCTCCTCTTCGTCTTAATCATCATCATCATCCCTCTTCCCCACTCTTCACTATCATCCTCATCCTCATCGTCGTCCTCATCATCACCACCGTCATCATGATCCTTATCATCGTCATCATCAGCGGCTGCATCATCCTCGTCACCATCATCATCATCATCATCATCATCAGCAGCAGTAGCAGCAACAGCATCAGCATTCTCATCATCATCACCAGGATCACCATCATCCTCATATTCATCAGAATCCTCATCCTCATCATTTTCAGCAGCAGTAACATGCTAATCCTCGTCCCCTTCCTCATCATCATCATCAGCAACAGCATAAATATAATCATCATCATCACCACAACCACCACAGTCATCATCATCATCATCATCATCATCATCATCATCATCATCATCATCACAGACAGCAACATCCACGTCATCCTCCTCCTCATCCTCATGACCATAAGCATCCCTCATCATTCCTCTCATCATTCTCACCATCATCATCAGTAGCAGCAGCATCGTCCTCATCAGCATCATCATAATCATCAGCATCACCATCGTCTTTACCATAACCTTCACCATCATCATCAAAATCAGAATCATCATCAGCAGCAGCAGCATCATCATCATCAGCAGCAGCATCAGCAGCAGCAGCATCATCCTCACCATCATCAGCAGCAGCATCACGACCATCATCATCAGCATCACCATCGTCATCATCATCATCAGCATCATCATCAGCATCATCGGCATCGCAATCACCATCACCACCATCAGAATCACCATCACCACCATCACTATCACCCTCCTGGCCGTCATCGCCGGCCGCCATCGCCATGATCCTCTCCTGCTGCTCGGCAGCGATGCCGGCGACGACCCCTCCGCCCGCCGCCCAGGCGCACGGCACACCGCCCCAGACGCTCGGGGCCGGCGCTGGCGCTTCGCGCACGCCCGCCAGCCCCCCCCCTCCTCCTCCTCCTCCTCCTCCTCGCTCCTCCTCCTCCTCCTCCTCCTCCTCCTCCTCCTCCTCCTCCTCCTCCTCCTCCTCCTCGCCCCCCCCAGCCCCCCCGCTCCGCAGAGGGGCACGAGGCCGTGGGGTCCGAGTATATGGAGTCGAAGGATCGCACCGCATCGCCGAGGCATCGGCGGCGCATCGGCGATGCATCGGCTACGTCGGCGATGCATCGGCGACGTCGGCGTGGAGAAAATCGGGCTTCGCATCGAGCCGCACCGCCGATGCATCGGCGGTGCGGCACGTTCCTCCGATCCTATCTACTCCGACCCCATCTGGGAGGCCTAGAGTGGGGCAGAGGGGCCGAGGCCGAGCGCAACAGCTAGAGCTCAGTGAGAGGTTAGAGACGGCAGAACAAGCATCTTTTCTTCCTGGCGACGGAACGATTGACGCACGAAACATCTCCGTGCATGGCTCATGCAGGGAAATGAGCAGAGCGTCAATACCGGCGGTCCCGAGACGGTGTGGTGGCAGACCGCGCGGTGACCTCGAAATCCCGAAGGACCTCACCGCACGGTCCGTCACCGCACGGTTCTGGGACACTGGAGGCCCCTGTCGCCCGAGACATGCCCAGGAGAACGACCCGAGTCCCAAAAGCGTGTGGTGAGCCCGAATCCCCACTGACTCACCACGGTGTGGTCACCACACCGCTTGGGGGCCCAATCATTTGGGGCAGAGTGGGGCAGCCAGCCGGGCAACGCACGGGCCCGCTAGGCCGCACGGCACGCGCCAAGCACTGGTCGCGGCGCGGCAAAGCTCCACACGGCATGGCACGACGTGGCGCGCCAGACCGCACAGCACGAGAGCTCAGGCAAAACTGCTCCTCGCACGGAGGGCTCCGACTGCGGCGCTCGCAGCAGCAGCAGCAGCAGCAGCAACAGCCTCCTGGACACTTTGGCGTAACGGGGAAGTCGGCGCTGCATGTCCGCAGGAACCTCATCCACCCCCTCATCTTCCTCCTCCTCCTCCTCTTCTTCCTCCTCCTCCTTCTCCTCATCCTCCTGACTCCTCCTCTTCCTCCTCCTCCTCCTCCTCCTTCTCCTCCTCCTCATCCTCCTCTTCATCCTCCTCCGCCCACTCCTAGCGGGGAGAAAGAAATGCAGAAGGGTAGGCGCAAAAGAGGCGATTGGGGCTGGGAAGCCGAGGCGGGACTGGCACCGATCGAGGTAGCGCGTTACCGGGTTGGTGTTCTCGATTCGCTCGCGCTCCTTGGTGGCCTCACAGGGGGCTTCAGAAGAAGAGGCAGGAGAAATGGATGGGAAAACATACGGAGGGAGAGTACGAGTGAGAATGAGAATGAGAGTGAAAGTAAGAGTATGGAGGGATGTCACAGGGCGGGAATGGGGTAAGAGAGGAGGGATGGCACAGGGCGGGGATGTGCGGGGAGCGGTCACCTACCCACTCACGAGGAGACATGTGACATGTTCCTCCTCCACCTTCTCGGCCTTCGCCTCCTGCTTCTCCTCCTCATCCTCCTCATCGTCATCACCACCACCACCGTCACCACCGACACCACCAACAGTGCCATCAGGACCATCACCAGGGACACTATAACTCATCATCACCATCATTGTCGTGATCAGAACCCTCATCAGCACCATCCTCATCATCGTCATCATCACCAATATAATCATCAGACTCATCAGCATCAGCATCATCATCATCATCAGCATCAACATCAGCATCAGCATCATCATCATCATCATCATCATCATCAGCATCATCATCATCATCATCATCATCATCATCATCATCATCATCATCATCATCATCATCGTCATCAACATCATCCTCATCAACATCAACATGATCAGCATCTTCATCATCGTCATCATCCGCAGCATCGTCATCATCATCAGCGTCAGCGTCATCATCAGCATCATCATCATCGTCATCATCATCGTCATCATCAGCATCATCATAATCATCGATCATCGTCAGCATGAGTATCATTATCATTATCACCATCGTCAGCATCATCAGCAGCACGATCGTCACCATCATCATCATCATCATCATCATCATCGTCGTCATCAGCAACAGCATCATCATCATCATAATCGCCGTCGTCATCATAATCATCATCATCATCATCATCATCATCAGCATCATCATCATCATCATCATCATCATCATCATCATCATCATCATCATCATTATCCTCGTCATCGTCATCATCAACATAATCAGCATCAGCAGTATCATCATCAGCATCAGCATCATCAGCATAGTCATCGTCAACAGTATCATCATCATCAACAACACCATCACCGTCATCATCACAATCATCATCATGAGCATTATCAGAATAACCACCTCTACCACCATCGTCATCGTCATCATCATTATTATCATCATCAGCATCATCAGAATCATCATCATGGCCAACATCATCATCAACAGCATGAGCATCATCGTCGTCATCATCCTCGTCATCATCACCACCAACGTCATCATCAGCATCATCATCGTCATCATCATCGCCACCATCAGCATCATCATGAACATCACCTCCTGATCATCATCATCATCATCATCATCATCATCATCATCATCATCAGCATCATCATCATCAGCAGCATCATCATCATCATCATCGTCATCGCCACCATCAGCATCATCAGCATCATCATCATGAGCATCAGCATCAGCATCATCAGCATCAGCATCATGATCAGCAGCAGCAGAAGTATCATCATCATCGCCACCTTCACCACTACCATCGACTACATCATCAGCTCCACAGAATCATCAGCATCGTTGAAGCATCGTTATCGATAGGATCACCAACAATATCCGCATCGTCAAAAATGACAGCCATCCGCCTCCCCGCCTCTTCCTTCTCCTCCGCTCTCTGGAAGTATCCCCCTCTTGCTCCTCCTCATGCATATCCTCCTCCTCCTCCTCCTCCTCATCGTCATCATCATCATCACCATCATCACCATCATCACCATCATCCTCATCGTCATCAGCATCATCATCACCACCACCACCACCATCATCATCATCATAATCAAAATCGTTATCATCATCATCATCATCATCATCATCATCATCATCATCATCACCATCATCACCATCATCACCACCATCACCATCACCATCACCATCACCATCACCATCAGAATCATCATCGTCATCATGATCAACATTATCGTCATCATCATCAGCAGCAGCAGCATTTTAATCATCATCATCATCATCATCATCATCAGCAGCAGCAGCGCAATCATCATCAACATCAACATCATCAGAATCACTCTCCTGCTCCTCCTACTCCTCCTCCTCCTCCTCCTCCTCCTCCTCCTCCTCCTCCTCCTCCTCCTCCTCCTCCTCCTCCTCCTCCTTCTCTTCGCCTCCCCCTCATGGCCTCCCCCCAACCTCTCATCATCCTCGGCGTGCACGTGCGGGGCGCTCTTCCGCGCCCTGGGACGGGGCCGAGGACAGCACGCCGCACCGAGTCGCCGAGGGCGCGGGTGGCCAGCAGGAGGACGCGGGCAGCGGGATGCGCCAGCAGCGAATCGGAAACTGGATCGGATCGGAGGCGAGGCTCGGGTCGGGCGAAAGGGGGGGATAGCAAAGGGGGGGGGGAGAATCAGCTCACGTAGCTGATTTTCCTGGCGTCGCCCGGCGCCGGAAGGCACCCATGTATCGAGGAATGGGCCCGGCGGCGGGGCCGAAACCAGCTACACGCAGCAGATTTCGTAACCCCCCCTTTCCCAACCCCCCCCTTTCGCCCGACCCGAGAGGCGAGGCGAGGCGAGGCGCGGCGCCGGTCAGTCGTCCCGGCGGGGACGGCCCTGCGAGAGCCCGGCGGTGGCGCCGGAGCGCCGAGAAAGAACCTGCATCGAGCACGCATGGAATCGGGCCGCATCGGTGCGGAATCGAGCTCGAATCGGATCGACCGCGCCGGGATGTACAACAAACGCCGTGGAAGCATCGGGCCGCATCGGCTCGCCAAGAGGTCGAAATCTGGCATCTGGACCCTGGGGGGCTTTCTCCGGGGCCAGCTCTTCATCCTGAGTCGTTTTCTGACTGTCCCGGGTGCCCCAGGGGGCGCAGCGCCCGAAAACTGCGAACGACCTCGGGGCCCGTTCCCCTCAAGACCCGCCTGCTTCATGGCGCGAGTGACACAATATCGAATCGGGTCGAGCCGGCTGGAGTCGGCCTCGAGTCGGATCGATCGGGGTCGGAACGGGCCCTTTGAGGGACACGCGACGACACTAGAGACAGCGGCCAGACGGACTCTCGAGAGCGTCGGCGGGAGCAGGAGCGGGAGGAGGCTGCAGGAGCAGGAGCACAAGAGGAGCAGGAGGAGGGGGAGGAGGAGGTGGAGCAGGAGGAGCAGCAGCAGCAGCAAGACGAGGGAGAAAAGGAGGAAGGGAAGGGAAGGGGAGGGGAGGGGAGGGGGAAGGGAGGGAAGAAGGGAAGGGAAGGGAGGGAAGGGAAGGGAAGGGAAGGGAAGGGAAGGGGAGGGGAGGGAGGGGAGGGGAGGGGAGGGAAGGGGGGGAGGGAGGGGGAGGGGGGGGGGGGGGGAGGGGAGGGAGGGGAGGGGAGGGGAGGGGAGGGGGAAGGGAAGGGGAAGGGAAGGAAGAGGGAAGGAAGGGAAGGGAAGGGAAGGAAGGGAAGGGAAGGAAGGGAAGGGAAGGGAAAGGGAAAGAGAGAGGGAGGGAAGGGAGAGAGAGAAGAGAAGAGAAGGGAAGAGAAGAGAGAAAGAGAGAGAGAGAAAAGAGAAGAGGGAAGAGACGAGAAGAGAAGAGAAGAGAAAGAGAAGAGAGAGAGGAGAGAAGAGAAAGAGAAAGAGAAAGAAGAGAGAAGAGAGAGAAGAGAAGAGAAGAGAAGAGAAGAAGAGAGAAGAGAGTAGAGAGAAGAGAGAGAGAGAAGAGAAGAGAAGAGAAGAGAAGAGAAGAGAAGAGAAGAGAAGAGGAGAGGAGAGAGGAGAAGAGAGAGCAGAAGAGAAGAGAAGAGAAGAGAGAAGAGAAGAGAAGAGAGAGAGAAGAGAAGAGAAGAGAAGAGAAGAGAAGAGAAGAGAAGAGAAGAGAAGAAGAGAAGAGAAGAGAAGAGAAGAGAAGAGAAGAGAAGAGAAGAGAGAGAGAAGAGAGAGAGAGAGAGAGAGAGAGAGAGAGAGAGAGAGAGACGAGACGAGACGAGACGAGACGAGACGAGACGAGACGAGACGAGACGAGAAGAGAAGAGAAGAGAAGAGAAGAGAAGAGAAGAGAAGAGAAGAGAAGAGAAGAGAAGAGAAGAGAAGAGAAGAGAAGAGAAGAGAAGAGAGAAGAGAAGAGAAGAGAAGAGAAGAGAAGAGAAGAGAAGAGAAGAGAAGAGAAGAGAAGAGAAGAGAAGAGAAGAGAAGAGAAGAGAAGAGAAGAGAAGAGAAGAGAAGAGAAGAGAAGAGAACTGGAAAAGGAGAACAGGAAGAAAAGAGACGAACAGCACGAGGACGAAGAGGAGAAGTGAGGAGGAGAAGAGGCAAAGGAGGAACAGCAGCAACAGGAAAATGGGATGGGGAGGGGCAGTCCCATCCTCCCCTTACCGCTCTCCGCCCACCCTCCCCGCCCTATCCTCCATTTTTCCCCACCCGAAGGCCCGCGACGGTGACCTTCCAATGGGCGCCCCAGCCCACCCTCACCGAGCCGGAGCGGCACGAGCGGTGGGCGCCTCGTTTTCTCGTTTTCTCGGCCCCTGGGTCGTGGCTTTGTTTTCTCGGACGCTGGTTAGTATTATAGTTTTCTCGTTGCCTCGGCGCCTAGTTCGTTTTCTTGTTTCTCCTATTTTCGACCCCTGGGTCGCGGTCTCGTTCTCTCTGACCCTGCTTCTCGTGGTCTCGTTTTCTCAGACCAAGCGTTTTCTGGTGATCTCGGCCCTTGGGTCGTGGTTTCGTCGGACCCTGGTTAGTTGTCTCGTTTTCTCGTTTTCTCGGCCCCTGGGTCGTGGGTCGTTTCCGCGTTTTCTCGTTTCCTCGGGCCCTGGGTCGTGGTCTTATTTTCTCGGGGCCTGGTTCGTTTTCTCGTCTTTCGTTTTCTCGGCCCCTGTGTCGTGGTCTCGTTTTCTCTGACCCTGGCTCGTGTTCTTGATTTCTCGGTCCTTGGTTCGTAGTCTCGTTTTTCTCGGGCCATGATTCCTTTCACCGTTTTCTCGTTTTCTCGGCCCCTGGGTTGTGGTCGTGTTTTCTCGGACCCTGGTTTGTTTTCGCGTTTTCTGTGCCCTTGGGCCG